AATACATACAGGAATGGTAATAGTTTTCTTATAAACTAGTCATGTCCAGCTTTTTAAAAATAGAAAATGATCATATTTTTATTAGAAACAACAAAATGTAATACCCAGAAATAAATTAAACAGGAAATGTATAAGACAAATGTAAAGAAATGTATATAATTCTATCAGAAAAATTTAAAGGACAAAATTTGGAGTAAGGGATTCTTTTCTTGAATAAGAAGATAAAATGTCATAAAGTATTAATTATTCCTAAATTAATAAATATTTTCAATGTCATTCCAGTAAAAATCTCAATGAGACTTTTCTGGAACTTGATGAAATTAGTAATGAATTAGCCTCTTGCAGTCAGATGTAATTGACATGTAATGAATTAATCTGAAGAATGAATGCAAGTGATATTTAGGAACACTTACAGATGTAAAGCCCTGGGAGTGGTCCTGTTCTACCAGATCTCAAAGTGGTTATTAAAGCAGTAAGAAATAAAACCAGGTGTCACTGGTATAAGACAGACAGACAGACAAAACAGGACAAAAATAGCATCTGAAATTGTCCCAAATATAGTTAAGTACACAGTGAGGGTACAACTTCACATCAGTGGTGGAATTTGGATTATGCAAACGAGTGCTTTGGGGACAACTTACCAGACATTTGGGAAATTAGGAAAAATTAACAAGGAACCAGATCCCAGCCTCACTCTCAAAATTAAACTCCAGGGTGCCTGGGTGGCTCAGTGGGTTAAAGCCTCTGCCTCCACTCGGGTCATGGTCTCAGGGTCCTGGGATCAAGCCCCACATCGGGCTCTCTGCTCGGCGGGGAGCCTGTTTCCCTCTCTGCCTGCCTCTCTGCCTACTTGTGATCTCTTTCTCTGTCAAATAAATAAATAAAATCTTTTAAAAAAATAAACTCCAAAGTAAAATTATGTGTGGAAAAATGAAATATAAAAACCAAGAAATTTTCTCTTTTAAGATTTTATTTATTTATTTGACAGACAGATCACAAGTAGGCAGAGAGGCAGGCGGGGGGGGGGAAGCATGCTCCCCGCTGAGCAGAGAGCCAGATGCGGGGCTCGATCCCAGGACCCTGAGATCATGACCGGAGCCGAAGGCAAAGTCTCAACCCACTGAACCATCCAGTCGCCCCAAAACCAAGAAATTTTCTTGAAGGAGCTGGGACACGGTTGGCGGGAGGGTGCAGGGAGCGTTCAAAGTCAGAAGCCATAAGGAAAAAGATTTGTCTACAATTTAAACCGTGATTAAAGGCAAGCAACAGACTGTGGAAATCATCTGCAACATGCACAGTGGCGATGGCAAGTACCCCTCGTGTATGGAGCACAGTGACAATTCTACAAGAAAAATATTAACACGTCTGAAGAGAGGCATTAACAAGAAACTCACGAAAGAAGGAATGCAAATGATCATAAACATTTAAAAAGTGTCTAACCTCCAAGCAATCAAAGAAGTACAACTTAATACAAGAAGGGGATATCATTTTGCCCTTTCCAAATGGGGAATTCTCAAGAGGCAGAGACTGTGGAGATCCAGGAGGGACAGGTGGCTGAAGTGGGCAGCTCGTGCCCCCACGACAGCCATGCACGGAGTAAAAGACCTCTCTGGAACTCCGGTATCCCACGTACCCATGTTTCACACACACAGTCCTTAACCTAGAAACGCCCCTTTCAGGAATTCGGCCCGAGGGAGGGAAGTGCGCACACGAAGACATTAAGCACAGTGTTATTCCCGAAAACCGTTGTGACTCGGAAACAGCCGAAATGCCCAACCATGAGAAAGCGACTCCTCAAATTCGCGGTCATACCAAGACATGGCCCCACACACCGCGAAGTGAAGGGGCCAGGGGGGTATTTCAAATAGCCTGTGATGCAAGAAGCCCGTTGGGTAAACAGATGAGCATTGAATTAGGGTTAGCACTGAACTAGATCAGACAGCAAAAAATAGAGGGGGAGAGAGAGAGGAGCTACGCTTTTATTTTCTAGATTATGTTAATTTTTACAAAGACCCTTATTCCACTTACCCTCAGAATAATACGGCTGTTTTCACTGGCTGGGAGGTCACAGTGCAAAGCCCTAGCGTCTGCCCAAGGAGGCGGGGCGGGCGGTGGCTGACGGAGCCGGCCCAGAAACCTCCGTTTCCAAAAACGCTTCTGACTCCACACTCTTAATTCTTCATTTTTTTAGGTGGCGAGAAGGTTATATATATTTTTAATATAGTGTCCAAAGAGCAAATTTCCCTGTGATACCTGCCACCCCACAGCACACACAGGCTTCCCGTATCCACAGTGCATGGCTGAGCAGCTCCCGCACACACGGCGTGTCCCCACCAGGACTCAGCAGGACTTGCTATTTCTAAGGTGATCAAACCCACCAAAATACTCCTTAATTCTCCTCCTTGTCTCCTTATCTACAGACACCTGTTCCCCAAACTCAGGGGAAGACGTTCTTCCTCCTGCGGGAAAGGCACCTTGTGCTGGCCTGCGTTCCACACAGCGGAGACTGTGTTCTGTTCCTCACTGGGGCCCCGGTGGCCTGGCCCAAGGCCTAGCACAGACGAGAGGCCCAATGAACCCTGGGGGGACAGCTGTGTGTGAATGAATGAAGGAATGAATGAATGAACACATCCCATCTCCTGCCACCTCCCCAGCGCTCTAAATCCCACAAAGCCCATCCGTGGGGGCGCAAGGCCACATCACAGGCGTTTATGCCAAAGCGCCCTCAGATCCCGCCAGCAAGGAGAATCTGCTCCGGACCAACCAGACCCCCAGTGATACGCGGGTATAGACAGAGTCGCGGGTTCTGTGACACGCTCCGCGTTCCCCAACTTTGCTGCACATGAAAATGGACAACCCACTCCAGCACTGCTGTGGGTGCTTCTCAGACGTCCCCGGGGGGGGGGGGGGGTCCCAAGGTGCAGTCCAGGTTCAAAAGGCAGGTACCATCACGAGTTTCTCCGTCACAGCAGCTGCCACAGCCTGGCCTGGCTGCCGCACACTGGAGAGGTCCTGCAGCCCATCCACCCCCGAAACCCAAGGACCACCCACTCAGCTGTACACATACCTTGGGGACACGATGCCCAGCTCAAAACCAACCTGTGCCCCTTCGGGGCAAGCCCCAACCCCCACGCGCCTCCTTTCCCCACCTGCACAGTGGAGCTGCTGGGCTGGGGCCAGCTAGCCTCCTGGGGGCCTAGGCAAGAGAGCCCCTGCCCCAAAGCGTTCTCTGCCTCTGTATCGGTCTGCCTAATAAAAGCGTTCCCTCGAAGAACCTCACTCTTGGAAACTGCTTCCATAAGGAGGGCAAAAGAGAAGGAAAGGTGGTCGCAGTGTAGGGTCCCCCTGGGGACAACGCCGGCTGAATGTAGAGGCTTAGCCATCTCACCACTTTGTTTTCATTATTCGTGAAAAACAATCAGCCTCGCTGGTTCTTTGCACTGAGGTCCTCCCCACCCCGCCCGGAGCCTGGGCACCGAGAGGACAGGCTAAGGTTAACACCGTTTCTCCCCAGCGCGCTCCCCGGGGAGGAACGCAGGCCCACGCCACTGCGCCCCGGACGGGGACCGCTCCGAGCCCTCCCCCACCGCGGGGTGTCTTCTCTTCGAGGATTCCGCGGGTCTACCCAGGACTACGTGATTCCCTTCCCTTGCGCCACACCAGGGTGTGTGTGTGTGAGTGTGTACGCGCGCGCGCGTGTGAGCCTGTGTGTGAGTGTGCGCGCGCGCGCGCCGGGGGAGGGAGCCTGCGGCTTCGCCGCTGAAACATGGTGTCGTTCCTTCCTTCCTCTCCGGGGCCGCGCGGCCGCCCTTCGCCGCTGCTGACCGGCTGGGCCAGGCCGGGCGCCACGCGAGGTCCCAGCGAGGCCGCTGCCCTCTGCGGCAGCCGGCGGTGCGCGCTCCCCGCTCCGGCGCCCAGGCTCGCCCGGAGGCCCGCGCGCCCTCCCGGTGCAGCATGCGGGCGCTGTGACGTTCTCGGATAAATGCCGCGCAACTGTGTAGGCGAATAGGAGCTAAAAATAAGAACGGAAAATCTATCATTAAGGTATCATTGCGCCAGAGCAGCTATTTGAAGGCTCCCGTGGTCCCTGGCGCCTGCGTTTGAAGCCCGCCTTTAGGCTTCGGGGGTATTTGCAGAAAACTCCCGGCAGCGGCTCGCCAGCCAGACCTCAGGGTGCAGGGGGTGGCGCGGGTAATTATGGCAACACTCAAAATAAAATAGAATGAAATAAAATAAGCGCTCACCTAACCCCTCCCCCATCTCACCCCCGGTGCGTCCTCGGGTCGCTGGGGAAGCCGCGGGGAGTGCGGCTGGACGCTGAAATGAATGTGACCCGGCGATTACGCAAAGAATAGGACCGAAAGCTGTTTCGGATCCATTTCGTCAACCGCCCTCCTCGGATTAGAAAAATAAAGTACAGGGAGGCCGCCTTTGGGAGAGAAAATGACAACCGGGACTTCACCCCCGGTCTACGGTGCGCCACGGTGGGGCGCAAAGACGCAAAGTCCCAGGGTGGCAAGCCTCCGGGGTGCCCCGGGGTTGAACGAACATTGATCTGATTTAGTTTTTAACACCCGAAGGGGAACAGCGGACACCGGGGTGGAGGGGCAGGACTCGTGGGTGTGCGTGTGCGCGTGTGTGCGTCCGGGGCGGGGGGAGGGGGCGCCAAGGTGCAGCCTGCGCGCCGCTCTGCGCCGCGGCGGGCTGCGTGCGTGTCTCTGTCCGCGCTGCTGAAACCGGCTCTTCGAGGGATCGGCGTCACATGACTCCGCCTGCCCCTCGCCCGCGCGCAGCTCGCCAGTCCCTCAGTTTGCCCCGCGCCGGGGGAGGGTCGGCCGGCATCTCCTGAGCCCCGGGGCGCTGAGGAGCGGAGAAGAGGTTCCGGCGGGGAATGGTACATCTCGCTTCCAGAAGCCCCGGCTCCGCGCCAGATCCCGGAGTGTAGATATTTGGGGGGAGGGGAGAGCGACCAGGAGCGAGCGAGCGAGCGCCAGAGAGAGGCAGCGCGCCGCGCGCACGGAAGGGGGGCTGCCGGTGCCGCGCGGAGAAGATGTAAGCGCGTGGGGTCTAGCTGGCCTCCGAGCACCATGCAGAAGGGGATCCGGCTGAACGATGGCCACGTCGCGTCCCTGGGACTGCTGGCGCGCAAGGACGGCACGCGCAAAGGCTACCTGAGCAAGCGGAGTTCGGACAACACAAAATGGCAAACCAAGTGGTTCGCGCTGCTGCAGAACCTGCTCTTTTACTTCGAGAGCGACTCGAGCTCGCGGCCCTCCGGGCTCTACCTGCTGGAGGGCTGCGTCTGCGACCGCGCGCCCTCCCCCAAGCCTGCGCTTTCGGCCAAGGAGCCGCTGGAGAAACAGGTGAGGCCAGCGCCGCGTCTGACCTCCCAGCTCCCCGGCCGCGGCCCTAAGCACCCCGGGCCCTCCGCCGGCAGATGCTGCCCGAACTTTGGTGCCTCCACTCTTGGCTCCCTCGGCGCGAGAGGAGGCTAGGCTCAAGCGGGCGGGTGACCCCGCCATGGGCAGAGGGGGCAGGGACTGCGGGCAGGAAGTAGGCGCCGGCTGCAGCTGCCCTTCACCGGGCGAGCTCCGTGGGAGGCAGGGACGCAGGGGCCGAGACGCGGAGGTGCTGAGAGCGACCGGGTGCGGGAAGAAAAGGGGCTCCGGGAGACCAGACATGGGCTGGGAATGTGGACACACATCCAGCCAAACATGGTGCCTCCCACCCCGCGACCCTCTCGGCCTCAGACAGCCTTGATCGCCTGCCCCCGGCCGGGGCAGGGGAGACGGAGGCGTCGGAGCGCCGGGCCCCCTGCCCCGCCGCCGCCGCCGCCGCCGCCGCGGGGAGCGAAGGAGAGGCTGCGCTAGGGCCGCTGGGGTCGGCGGGGTGCGGTGGAGCAGCGACGGTCTCCCGGCGGGGCCCAGTCCCCAGCACCAGACCGAAGCGTTCCAAGGACCCCTCTGGCGCGTGGAGGCCAGGGCCCGGGGCTGCTGCGGAGGCCCCGGGACAGACGGGCGCTGCTCTCCTCCCCCTCCCCCTGCACCGCCGCTGCCGCCGCCGCCCGCCGCAGTCGCGGCCAACGCGCTGCCCTCGCGTTTCTGGAGCTGCAGGGCTCACGGGCGGGCCTGGATCTGCCCCGGGGGGCCAGGCGGGGTGGGGGGGCGCCTCTGGCGTGGAGGGAAGGAGGAGCGCCCGAGAGGGAGAGCGATGTTTAAGCTTGATGCACTCAGCAAAGGCATCTGGTCAGTCTCCATGCCGCCAGGAAAGGAAAGTCAAAGATAGTAGGTCCTAAAATGTCGTGGCTGGAAGGGACCTGAGGGGGGGGGGGGGGGCTGCAACTAGCTGGTTATTGTCTGAAGAAGGACGCTGAGACCCACAGAGATGGTACTGCCCAATGTCATACCAGGCGGCTGCTTCGGATTTCCAAAAGACAGCTGAGATCTCAAAGCCCCTGCTGCGTGGAGACTGGTGGGGTTGGAATTGGCCGGACTGGAAGCCCCGCTTGAAGTTGGCCACCTTGTTGTCAAGACCGGCCTGAGCCCAGCCTTTGCAGTCCACCTTTGCCTTTCCTGCCCTTGTCTGGTGGGTGCTGGGGGATGATTTCTGGGGACTAGCATATTTGGGGGTGGATCTCTGGGGACGCTAGGACACAGGGCAGGGAGAGGCTCCCAGCCGGCAAAGCCGAGCAAAGAGCAGGCAGGTCCTTCGGCTCAACGGGGAGGAGGACTGACCTGAGAGAGCCAGACCCCGGCCAGGCCAGAGTTCTGCTTCCAGCCCTTGACAAACTGCCCTCGCCAGCCTTCCAGAACCTCGCCGACCTTTGCCAGCCTAAGTCCACCTGCACCTCCCGGTGGCCCCAGCCCCAGCCCTCCTGGAGCCCCTCCACCTTCAGTCCCCAGCTCTAGAGCCCAGAGCTGAGTGCCCAGGGAAGGCAGGGAGAGAGGGAGGCAGGAAGCCGGGTTGCCGCGGGGCTCACAGCACCTGTTCTCAGCCCTTCGGAAACCAGAGCCGGGCCTGAGACTCCATCTCGGCCCCGCGACCGCCGGGCTCTCTCTGTGACCTTAGCAAACACCCTCAACTTCTCTGAGCCTCTGTGTTGTCATCTACAGAATGGGGATAAAAACACCTACTGCCCCAAGATTTCCAGAGCACAGTTAGGTAACGTACGTGAAAGTGTGCTCAGGACGCACTTGAGCTGGGTCTCAGGAAGCCGTAGCTGATCTGAAGAGCTGGGAACAGAGGCCACACGGAGAGCGTTTCAGCTGAAGGGAAGCTCGGGGAGACCCTACAGCCCATCCTCCCCAGTACGCAGACAGACAGACAGAAGGCCAGAGAGGGGAAGTTTGCTGCCTGTGAGCAAAGTAAGTCAGGAGCAGCCTCAGACCCAGAATTCACCCAGTGTCTAAGAATTCCTGAAAAGGGGATCCTACACTCATTTCAAATCAGTCCTGGCCCGAGTATAAAACCACACCAGCAGCAGATTTTGGAAGGGACAGGACTGCAGAGCCCACTGGTGGTATGCACACGTTCTCCCCACCGTCTCCCCAGAACGGCCGGGGAGCCCCAGAGGAGAGCAGGACGGGGCGGAGAGGAGCAGGTGACGGCCAGGCGCCGCCTGGCTCATGCGCCGATTTCGTGCGAGACATCTGCTCTGTCTCGTGCCCTGACATAGACCTTCCTTCCGTTTGAGTCCAGAGCCAGGGTCTGGCTAATGTGGAGAAGTACGTCCTGCTTCCTCGGCCCACGGGCGTCTATAAGAAACTGTAACGTTTCCATTCTGTATCTTAGAGGAAAACTGGTCATCCCAGCGGCTGCCCGATATGTCTCATGGGGTTGGGTGCCCCTGGCAGCCAGGCGGCCCCGGCGTTAGAGCCTTCCAGTCCCTGGGTCTGCCCTGCGTCTGAGCCCACAGGAAGCCTCAACTGCAGACCCGCTGGCCATGTGCCCTTGCTAGGAGGCCTCGAAGATGCCGGCAGGTGGGCTGCACAGGCCCGGATCTGGTGAAGACCTGCTTGGAACCGGACGTCGTTTTGTCCAGGTCTAAGTGGGCAGCTTCCAGGTGGAAAGGCCAGGGCCAGGAAACTCCGTCCAGCGGCAGGAGCGTGTCAGGGACCGAGCACACAGTAGGTGTGCAGAGTGTGCTTGTAGAGCTGAACTGGGAGCATCAGATGTTCATTCCTCCCTTGGCGTGCTGAGGGCTGACAGGGCACCAGCCCGGGACCCTGAGCCCCAGGCATGTGTTCACATGGCGTCCTGATGCCCTCTCTCTGTGGGGCCTCTGTGTGAGTCTGACGGCACCTGGCACAGCCCCCTTCCTGGAGCCCTGAGCTGGGATCCAACGTCTCACGCAGGCAGACTGACCCAGCCCGCTCCCGTGCCCACTGGCCGCTCCAGGGCACCTGGGCCCTGCTGGCTCCGGGCTGACTTCCTGTCGGGCTTACAGAAGAGAAAACCTTCTCGGGCCGCCTCGGGCGGTGGCTGATGTGAGACTCCTTCCCTCTCAGTCCGCAGCCACCCCGCCTTCATCACAAAGCCCTCCCATTGCTCCAGCACAGTCCACCCCTCAGCCAATCAGAGAAACGCAAACCTGAACGGAGGGGGATGAGGTTTTGCTGAAACAGCAGCCCTCCTGACCAGAGCCTGACCAGAGCCCGACTAGAGCCCGGGGACTGCTGCGCTTGTACCTCCCAGAGAGGCTCCGCCTTCCCGACGGGGCCCCCGCAGCAGTGAGGCCCCCAGGATTAACCGTTCCCTCCCCCAAACGTTTCTAGAGCTGAAAGGAGGTTGAAGAGACTCAGTAATCATACCTTAATTGGGACAAGGAAATACCAGGTCACCGCCGGTCTGCTTGGTGATGGTGCTGGGACGGTGGTTCCGGACCGCGCAGGCGCGAGGCCACGCTGAGATCTCACTGCCTTTTTCTGTGCGGCGAACATCGGGCTCTGGGGACCCGGGCTCTGCTAGGTCCTGTGGCTGCGGGGGGAAAGAAAATGATGTCTTCAGAGAGCTGCCAGGGGCTGGGTGGGGAGCCCTCCCCAGGTGTGCCCCTGCAGCTATGGCCAGGTGCTGGGGAGTCTCCCTCCCCGCCCCTGCCTGGGATCCCCGCGGGGCTTGCCCAACACTCTCACAGGGTCCCACCTCCTGCACTCCCGTGCCCCTCTGTACAGCCCCCACTCAAGGGACCTTCCTCTGGCAGGCACACATCCAATCACCACAGCAAGCCTCTCAGAGCGACCATGGCTCCCATTGCCTTCAGGGAAAGATGGGATCTGTCTGGGGGACCCCCAGGAGCCAGCATTCTGCCCTTCCGTGAGCCCTGACCCATCTTCCCATCCTGCTTTTCCTCACCCTACACAGGCCTCTTTTTCCCTACCCCGGGCCTTAGCACCTGCTCCCTCTCCCTGGAAGGACCTCCCACCCCGAGCATGTCAGTGACCTCGTCCTCCCCACCCCCAAGGTCCCAGCCTTGGCCTCCCGCCCATGGACCCCAGGCTTTTTTTCCTCCACACTGTGGTCACAGTCTGCGATGACCATGAATTTCCAGGTGCAGGAGAGCAGTGGGGGGCGCCAGCTGAGGTGGAGATATGGGGCAGTTATAGCTGATAGTTGATGAGAGGGGTCGGAGCCACGACTGGGCAAAGGAACCGGGTCTTTACGGCACAGACTCCGGTATCACCGCAGGACCCGCCATCTGGCTGGGCAGGAGGGACTCCCACACCCCTAGACCCATAAATATGGAGGAACAAAAAATGCAGTTTACCAAGCACCTACTGTGTGCCAAGCACCTGCTATGGGCCGGGCACCAGAGTGCCTGCTCTGCGTGAGCACTCCCCTCAGTCCTCCCAGCAGCCCTGGGAGCTTGTCCCTGCTCACCCATTTTCGAGACAGCAACACTGAGGCTCAGTGCTGTCAGGTGACTTGCTCGAAGCTCCAGAGCGTGTGGGGACCAGCGGGCAGGTGACTGCAGAACCTGAGCCCTCCTGCACCGACCGCTGGGCAGTTTGCGTTGGCCGTCCCCCGCCAAGAAAACAGAGCATCACAGCACCTCGATCCGTCGCTGCCGCTCCAGCGACTTGTGTGAAGGAGCTCTGGTTTCTGCTTGGGTCGGAGCCTGGCAAGTCCGATCCCATGAGCGTAAAGGGAAGACCTAAAATACAGGCATCTGCACCCCACAGTCCAGTTTCCCTGAGATCCAGGGGCCGGTGCCTGTGTGCACGTGGCCGGGAACAGGACTCAGCCCCCGGCGTGTGTGCAGGAGCGCTGGTGACGTCTGCACCCGAGGGCGCCGGACTGCTGCCTGCGCCCAGAGGCCTCTGTGAGGGCGCCTGTCGTGCCCTTGAACACCCCCACTGCCCACCCC